AACCCCTGAGGGGGGGGTGGGGGGGGGCCCAGCCCGCCCCATTCCCCCCACCCCTGGGAAAAAAGAACAAACCCCCTCCAAAAAAAAAAAAAAAAAAAAAAAAAAAGGTGGAAACAACCCAAATGCCCATTAACAGAAGAATGGGTAAACAAACTGTGGTCTATTCATCAGCAGAAATATTATTCAGGCATAGCAAGGAATGAAGTACTGATACATGCTACAATTTGGATAAAACTTGAAACCTTATGCTAAATGAAAGAAGCCAGTAGCAGGTCCACATATGTTATTCTATTCATATGGAAGTCCAGAACAGGGAAATCTGTGGAGACAGAAAGTAGATTAGTCATTATTTAAGGCTTAGTATGGGGCAAGTGTGGCAGTGGGGAGGCCAGGGGACAGAGTTTCTTTTTGAAGTGATGAAAATATTCTAACATTGACTGTGGTTGCATGTATTTGTGAATATACTAAGAGCCACTGAACTGTTCACTGCAAATGGCTTAATTGTATGGTATGTGAATTACATCTCAACAAATCTGTTTTAACAAAAAGAATACAGCCAATATGTTTTGCCACCTTGAATCCCTCTGACATCTTCAGGCCTCCTTTTGCCACCTCCTTTTTATATCATTCCTGCTCACAGAAACTTTCATTCAGGATATGGTCTACTCCCCAGGGGACCGGATATTTCTCATTTTTTTTTTCTTTGTAGCATCACTGTGGCTTCCACACACATTCTGTTCTTCCATTTGCTCTTGGCCACATCTCCAAATAATTTGGAGTTTGTTCATTTTCTCGGTTTCCTAGTGGTTGGGATTTACTTTTATTTTCTTGTTTCTGTCTACTTGGTTTCCAGGAGGAGGAATATCAGGTTTAGATCTAGTTCTTGGCTGGATATGGTGGCCTACACCTGTAATTCCAGCACTTCGGGAGGCCAAGGTGGGAGAGTATTTCTGGGGGGCAGGAGTTTGAGACCAACCTAGGTAACATAGCAAGACCCTGTCTCTACAAAAATAAAATAAATTAGCCAGGCACAGTGGTGCATGCCTGTAGTCCCACCTATTCAGCAGGCTGAGGTGGAAGGATTGCTTGAGCCTAGCAGTTTGAGGCAACAGTGAACTGTGATTGCACCACTGTACTCCAGGATAAGTGACAGTTCAAGACCCTGTCTCTAAAAATTTTTGTTAATTATTTAAATGAACTAGTTTTTTTTCCTTAAAACTGTTTAATAGTCACTCTCAAGTTCTTTATGCTCTCAAACACAAAATGTGTTTTAGTCCACAATTTATTCTCCAGCCCTTCACTCTTCTTGGAAAAGTGCTTCAAGTCTTCTGTGCCGCTGAAGCTCTCTGTCTCCTAGGACCAATTTGTACTATATGCTTTGCATGGAGTTTTCATGAACCCCTCAGACTGTGTCTATCAGTCTTCCCTCTACCCTCTCACACCAATTTTGTTGTATCTCTAATTAGAAACAGTTTTAAACCTTACTTTAAAAATGCAGAATGCTTTCTTATTACTTCTGAAATAAGGCCCAAACTCCATAGCCTATTTTTTAGGGCTTTTCCTAACAGGGTCCCTGCTTTATACATCCCCATCTGCCGCTAGTCTTTCCTCTCACTCTGTGTTCCTTGAATGCACAAAGATTATCTTTGCTTGATTGGCACGTGTTGTTTCCTCCGCTAGGAGATTCCCCTCCCCTTGCCCTGTCTTCTCTAGTGAGGCCCTGTGGAGGAAAAGCTAAATATTAAATTTGAACTCAGTTGAACATGGACACAAACAGTGGTCACCAAGTCCCGGAACAGGTCATGTGAGCCCCCTGAAGCATTCATGCAGCACTGTTTCGGAGAAATCTCTGTTTCAATCTATTCATATACGTTATTGAAAAACAATAGACGATCGCAAAAACAGGTTGACTTTTTTGTGTTCATGGAGCCCAGTCAGGAATGGCCCTCATGACTGGGCCTAATGCCAAACAACTTGTTACAGAAAGAGCCAAGGTCCCAGACAGTGCTGAAGCATCATGAGACCTCTCCGCATCTGGGCATGGATGCGTGGCCAACTCTGGAGCCCAAGCTGTTGCTTCCTGGTCTGGTGGTGAATCCTCCGTAGTCTGGTGAATCCCTTCTCCCCTTCCCATTGCAATGTGCTTATTATATCATTCGCTTATTATATCCGCATTGCCATTTATGTGGGATAAAGGTTGTTTACCCTTAAAGGTATTGTGTATGTGTCTCCCCTTGTGTGTTTCCCACATAAAACAGCCCCTCAAGGGTCAGCTGAAGTACCATCTCCTATAGGAAATTTTCTCTTACAAACTAATTTTGGTTTGGGCTCTTTAGAACTAGTTGGTTCCTTTTATAACCATGATCACCTTTATTTCCTACAGTATTGTAATTGCTTGTTTACTTTTCTGACTATGAATTCCTTGACAGTAGGTCTAATTCCCCTGTGCTAAGCACAAAGCTAGATTCAGAGAGGCTTTTATATGTGTGTGTGTGGGTGTGTGTGTGTGTGTGTGTGTGTATGTGTGTGTGTGTGTGTGTGTGTGTGTGCGTGCGCGCGCACGCGCGCCAAAGATTTATTTCTTCATTTCTTGCATCTGAAGGACTCTTCGATGACATCCTTGGCCTGAGATTCCTTGCCATAGTCCTTAACTACTACACAACTGCAACCAACCACTTTACAGGGCTTCCCCTCTCTGTCAGTTTTACAGAGGCCAGCCCATTCCCCTAGTTTCTTGTTGTCATCAACCTTAATGGGGTTGATTTGGTGTTCAGCACAAAGGGCCTCCACCAACTTGACATACATAGGCACATCACAGTTGGATAAAAGCACACAAAGATGGGCTTGGCGCTTGTCTGAGGCTTTGGCAGCTTCGTGAATTCCACATGCTAGGCCATCGTGGATGAGGGCGGTCTTCAGCACCTCTTGTAAAGCAGTATTAACGTCCATTACACCTCCAGCAGCAGTGCCTTCCTCAGCCCTGACAGTGGGTTACGGGTGAAGTTGAATCTTGGACACAACCGAGCCTCTGCCTCCGCATGACTTGGAGGTGGCAGGAAAAGAGCCAATATATTTTTTTAATAAAAGTACTTGCTTCAGCCGGGCATGGTGGCTTACACCTGTAATCCCAGCACTTTGGGAGGCCAAGGTGGGTGGATCACAAGGTCGAGATCAAGACCATCCTGGCCAACATGGTCCCGTCTCAAAAAAAAAAACAAAGCAAAACAGAAAAAAACAAAAAAAACTTGCTTCACAAAAAACTGACTACTTGCCCAACACAGCCTTCCTTTCAACTTTGAGTCCCTTTCATGAAAAAGCCATCCTGAGACTTAGTGTCACTGAAAACATAGGAGGCAGAGATCATAGCTACTCCTGTAAGGGAAAGGCCCAGCTCATCCTTCATTCAGTAAAATAAGAAATCCTGAAATCCAGAGGGTAGAATACAGTATTCAAAGTGAACAAGCTTTGCATTCAGCAAACCTATGATATTTCCTAATAGTGAATTTGAGCAAGTGGCCCATTTCCTGATCTTTTAAATGAGACAAGTAACTGACATTCATAAGTGGGTTGAGGATAAAGGTTAATGTATGTATATATGAATTTAGGGCAAGCCAGAATTGACTTATCTACTAGTATCCTGATCCATGTCATGATTTTGGCATAAGTAATTAGACTGAAACTCCACCCTGCTTTTGTTGAATCTCTCTGGTTTTGGATAGGGCCAGGATTTCTTCAGATTGATTCCTTCTGACCTGCGTCCAAGGAAGAAGGTGGCATTCCTATTTGTCCATTTGAAAGCTCTGAGAAAGCCCTGACCTCATGATTCTTTCCTTCTAGCTCTGCTTTCTCAGCACATTGCTTCACCAACAGAAGAATCGAGAGGAGGACCGGTAGACTTGGAATGTTAAGTCATGGCTCATGTGAGTTGTAGTTGCCTCTCTTCAAAAATATAACCTATTTATATCACATCATGTGAATATTTTGTATTGCTTATCCTTAAACTGCTTGCCTGAATCACTATTGAGCATCATAAGTGATGATTGCGAAATAGTCCAGTGCTTTCCCTAGATATCTCCAACCAGTATGACCAAATCTATCCACCAGGGCTTTAAGTATCTCCTGTGTCCCAATCTGGCAGAGCACTGAAGAAAATAAATACATTTCCTTAAGGGGAACTGTATAGACTTTTGATTCAAACCCATGGCTTAACAAGATGGGATGCAGTAATTAAAGGGGACATGCTACATAAAGGCTTTTATTTACTCTGTAGAATGGGATATTTAATCAACACGGGAGTTGGAGTTCGTTGGTATTCATTTAGGTATGTGGCACTTTATGATGCTTTCCTTAGCGGATATTCTGGGAGGTTGAGTTCACAGAAATCTGGGGTTTTCCAGGAAATTAATGAGAGGTTAATCATTAACAATCCGAGGCTGGGTGCGGTGGCTCACGCCTGTAATCCCAGCACTTTGGGAGACCAAGGTGGGCGGATCACAAGGTCAGGGGTTCGAGACCAGCCTGGCCAACATAGTAAAACCCTGTCTCTGCTAAAAAAAAAAATACAAAAAACTTAGCCAGGTGTGGTGGCAGGTGCCTATAGCGCCAGCTACTCCGGAGGCTGAGGCAGGAGGATCACTTGAACTTGGAGATGGAGGTTGCAGTGAGCTGAGATTGTGCCACAGCACTGTAGCCCAGGCAACAGTACAAGACTCTGTCTCAAAAACAAAAACAAAAACAAAAAACAAAACAAAAAAAAAACAATCCAGGATAAGTTATTCTAGGCTGATATAGCCTCTCATTGTTATTGACAAAAACTCATGTGATGACTTTCGCAGTCATCACTTATGACACTGAATTTGCTGATTGTCAGCTGCTTAGCTAAGAACCTGGAGATTCTACATATTTTCCACAGAAAATAATATTCAGTCAAAGAGTGTATCTCTTGAGAATTCTCTCAATTTAAACTAACAGAAAACTCAACTAAACGTAGCAGCATAAGCAAAGAATAGTTACCTTGGCCAAAGACTCTGTGTGCACAAGTCTGTTTGTGCCCAGTAAAGACTGCTTACAAGCAACAAAACCCCCAACTTTTCTCACATAATAAATCTGGGTTTAGTTCTTCCCGGCTGGTGTAGCCTCTCAGTGGTATCCACAAAAACCTCATATAATATCTGTTATTCTGGGCTGCCATTCTGATGTTTTGGTATTTGTGATTTGAAGATCATAAAGATGTGGTGACTGAGCAACAGGAGTTTTTAAGAGCATGTAGGCCAGGTGCAGTGGCTCATTAGGACTTTGGGAGGCCAAGGCGGGCAGATCACTTGTGGTCAGGAGTTCGAGACCAGCCTGATCAACGCTGCAAAACCCCCTCTTTACTAAAAACAGAAAAATATTAGCTGGGCGCAGTGGTGTGCACCTGTAATCCCAGCTGTGAGGGTGGCTGGGGCACAAGAATCACTTGAACCTGGGAGGCAGAGGTTGCAGTGAGTTGAGATTACACTACTGTACTTCAGCCTGGGTGACAGAACAAGTATGTCTCGAAAAGAACAAAAGCAAAGGAACATGTAGGCACTCAGCTTTAGTCACCCTTATTCCCTCCCATGTCATTTCCCCCAAAACCACAGGCAGCCAACTCCAGCTTTTGCCCAGTATGTGCCCCACTCCCTGCAGTGCCCCTTTCCAACTTTTCCCCTTTGATCTAAAAGGGGTTATTATTTTTAAAAATATCACCATTAATATTTGGACTTGTTCTTTCAACAGTTGATGTTCAGGGACGTGGCTATAGATTTCTCTCAAGAGGAGTGGGAGGGCCTGGACCTGAAACAGAGGGATTTATATAGAGATGTGATGTTGGAGAACTACAGCAACATGGTTTCACTGGGTAAGATTCAGCATTTGTTCTTAGAAATTTGGGCTTTCTGTATTGTGAAGTTTTTAATTGTGTTTTAAAACACAAAGGGTAACTTCTGACCTTTGTTTTTGGGGAAATGGTTTGTGCTTTGTAAATCTGGCAATAGGTATCATCAGTGGGCACCTCCATCTTTCCCATCCTTTATAACTTATTTCTGCCCTGCCTGTAATTGTTTATTTTCGTTAATAACCAAGGAACTAGTTGCAAATTTTAGAATCTTTACCATGTGATTTTTTGCTGTTTCTTATCTTCTGAGCAGGTCTTTGCATTTATCAGCCAGATGTGTTCTCTTTATTGGAGAAAGGGAAAGAGCCCTGGAAGATTTTGAGGGATGAGACAAGAGGACCTTGCCCAGGTGAGTGAGGGCTGAACAGGCACAAGGAGGCCGTCATTGTGGATAACAGCTCAGCTGCATAATGAGGCAGCAACACCTCTGAAATATTGGTCTGGTTTATCCCTTTAAGAACAAAAACTGAGACAGGCATAGTAGCTCACACCTGCAATCCTAGACTTTGGAAGACTGAGGTGGGCGGATTGCCTGAGCTCAGGAGTTTGAGACCAGTCTGGGCAATGTGGTGGAACCCCATATCTACTGAAAAAAAAAAAAATTAGCCAAGCATGGCAGCGTACGCCTATAGTCCCAGCTACTTGGGAGGCTGAGGCAGGAGAATTGCTTGAACCTGGGAAGCGGCGGTTTCAGTGAGCTGCGATTGTGCCACTGCACTCTAGCCTAGTTGACAGAGTGAGACTCCATCTCAAAAAGAAAAAGAAAAAAAAGACCAAGACCAAAAACTGGCTGAGTGCAGTGGCTCACACCTGTAATCCCAGCACTTTGGGAGGCCGAGGCGGGCGGATCATGAGATCGAGCGATTGAGACCAACCTGGCCAACATGGTGAAACCCTGTCTCTACTGAAAATACTGAAATTAGCTGGCGTGGTGACACACACCTGTAGTCCCAGCTACTAGGGAGACTCTGGCAGGAGAATCGCTTGAACATGGGAGGCAGAAGTTGCAGTGGGCCAAGATCATGCCACTGCACTCCATCCTGGGTGACAGAGCAAGATTCCATCTCAAAAAAAAAAGAAAAAAAACCAACCAATACCAAAAATCTTTGATAAAGTCCTGAGACCTAGATAGAGACAAAACCTTTTCCAAAAGAATTTTCTCTTGACTCCAAATACCACTCGATTTTTGTGCTCTTATTTTTTCACTCATGTAACAAAAAGGTAAGTGCCGTTCTTTTCTCCAGTGGCCCTTATTTTATCTGTGATTTGGATCAGGTTCCTTTCCATCTCTGTTTTTTTAAATTTAGATATTCATAAAATTCTTCATTCGGTAAAAACAAAACAAAACCTTTTTTACCCATCCCTTTTGAATTTTTCTCATCTTTCCTGGCTTCTCCTTGCTTATACATTGGCTACATTCATTAGTTCATTCTTTTGATCAACATTTATGGATTTTCTCATTTTAGGCTTAGAAGAATTAACAAAGAATATGTAATCTCTTAAGAAACTTTTTGTTCTCTTCTGTGACTGGAACATGGCCATACATTTCTGCATAAAGGGCTCTACATTAAGAGAGGACCTAATAGGCTGCTTAGCTGAAAATTACAGTAATAGGTGAAAACAGTTTCTGGTCACAGTGAGAAAGAAGTGGCAGAAGAAAGGTTAGGGCTCATGAAGTACAACTAGGAGAACACGGTGTCATAAAAAACAAGTCCGGCCAGGCGCAGTGGCTCATGCCTGTAATCCCAGCATTTTAGAAGGCCGAGGTGGGCAGATTACCTGAGGTCAGGAATTCAAAACCAGCCTGGTCAACATGGCGAAACCCTGTCTCTACTAAAAATAGTAAACCCTGCTACTCAGGATGCTGAGGCAGGAGAATCGCTTGAACCTGGGAGGCAGAGGTTGCAGTGAGCCAAGATCACGCCACTCCACTCCAACCTGGGTGACAGAGCAAGAATCCATCTCAAAAAAAACCAAAAACCAAAAAACAACAAAAAAAGACAAACCCTGGCTTGCCTGGTTCCCTGTATTCTCCAGCTTTTCTTCTCTAACAGTAATCATCATCTACAGATTATTCAACATTTATCCTATGTAAGGCAGTTAATAGAAGTAGCGTATTATTCCTTGCAACAGACCTCTGCAAAGCGATGTTTTATTCCTTTCTATAATGTGGAAAATTCAGTCAAGCTCAGTAATTTTCCAATCACCTAAAAACTTCTTTGAGTTAACAGAACTGGAGTCTGAAACTGCAGTTCGTTGTCTTTCCATTGCCATACATTACTGGTCATAGTTTATAACTAAACTGCCTTTCAATTCATTCAGTCATTGATGGAGTACTTGCTCTGTCTCCCAAGAAAAATTAATACCACAATCATATGACAATTGTACTTGATCCTAAATACATATAAAAAAATGAGTCACAGAAAAGTCCTATTATTCTTAGCTTGTGCCAGAGTCCTTCTCCCTTGAACAAAATCTCAAACTATTTTGTTGTTGTTAAGACAGGGTCTTACACTGTCACCCGTGATGGAGTGCGGTGATGTGATCATGGCTCACTGCGGCCTTGACCTCCTAGGCTCAGGTGATCCTGCCACTTCAGCCTTCCAATTAGCTGGGAGCACAGGAATGCACCTCTACTTCTGGCTAATTTTTTTTAAAGATGGGGTTTTCCCATGTTGCCTAAGCTGGTCTCAAACTTCTGGACTCAAGCAATCCATCTGCCTCAGCCTTCTGAAGTGCTGGGATTACAGGTGTGAATAATTGTACATGGCCTTCAAACTATTTTTCTTTCTGAACTATCATGCATCATTATCTCCTTTAACCTAAATGCATCATACCCTGATATTGAGATCCTAGTACTTTGGTAACTCTGGATGAGATTGTTTCCCTCATATTAGACTGTTGCTCTGCTATTTCCCAGCATTAATATTTTTAAGCTCTGAATTATATAAGACATTCATCATAGTACTTAAAACTTGTAGATATTTTCTGAGTTGTTATTCTGTTGCTAAGGTGGTACCTGGATAATCATTTTTTATTGAGCTCCTCAGATGAATATGATCAAAATAAAATATACTTATCATGGCCGGGCGCGGTGGCTCAAGCCTGTAATCCCAGCACTTTGGGAGGCCGAGGCGGGTGGATCACGAGGTCAAGAGATCGAGACCATCCTGGTCAACACGGTGAAACCCCGTCTCTACTAAAAATACAAAAAATTAGCTGGGCATGGTAGCGCATGCCTGTAATCCCAGCTACTCAGGAGGCTGAGACAGGAGAATTGCCTGAACCCAGGAGGCGGAGGTTGCGGTGAGCCGAGATCGCGCCATTGCACTCCAGCCTGGGTAACAAGAGCGAAACTCCGTCTCAAAAAAAAAAAAAAAAAAAAAATGTATATATATATATACTTATCATTTGACTCAACTTGTATTATTTCTTTTAAATTTCTACTTACGTCTTGCCTTTTTTTCATATTTCTCATATTTGAGAATTTTTTAAGCCATTCACTTCTGATATGATTTATTTCAAGATTTTCTGTATCTCTTTTAGAAGTTTTATTTCGGCTGGGTGTGGTGGCTTATGCCTGTAATCCAAGCACTTTGGAGGCCAAGGGGGGCAGATCACCTGAGGTCAGGAGTTCAAAACCAGCCTGACCAACATGGTGAAATCCTGTCTTTAAAAAAAAGAAATTAAAAAAAAAAGTTTTATTTCTTTTTGTATGTAAAACAGTATGTTTTTACCTTCTTATTTTTCAGACATGCAATCCAGGTGTCCGATCAAGAAGTTATTACCAAAAAATGGCATTTTTGAGAGAGAAATAGCCCAACTGGAAATAAGGAAAATTTGTAAAAACCACAGCCTTGAATGTTTGTGTTTTAGAGGTGATTGGGAAGGCAATGTTCAGTTTCAGACACTACAAGATAATCAAGAGGAATGTTTCAAGCAGGGGATACTCACCTATGTTAAAATGCCCACTTTTAACCGACACCCAGCCTTTAATCTACACCAGAGACTTAACACAGGAGACAAACTGAATGAATTTAAAGAATTGGGGAAAGCCTTTATTTCTGGCTCAGATCGTACTCAACATCAGTTAATTCACACAAGTGAGAAATTCTGTGAAGATAAAGAATGTGGAAATACCTTTCTTTCCGATTCGGAGGTTACTCAATATCAGACAGTTGACACTGTTAAAAAAACATATGAATGTAAAGAATGTGGGAAGTCTTTTAGTTTACGTTCGAGTCTTACTGGTCATAAGAGAATTCATACCGGAGAGAAACCTTTTAAATGTAAGGAATGTGGAAAGGCCTTTAGATTTCATTCACAACTTAGTGTCCATAAGCGAATTCATACTGGTGAGAAATCTTACGAATGTAAGGAATGTGGGAAGGCCTTTAGTTGTGGCTCAGATCTTACTCGACATCAGAGAATTCATACCGGTGAAAAACCCTATGAATGTAGTGAATGTACAAAGGCCTTTAGTCAGCGATCACATCTTATTAAACATCAGAGAATTCACACCGGTGAAAAACCTTATGAATGTAAGGAGTGTGGGAAAGCTTTTACTCGTGGGTCACATCTAACTCAGCATCAGAGAATTCATACTGGTGAGAAATCTCATGAGTGTAAGGAATGTGGAAAAGCCTTTATTCGTGGTTCAAATCTTGCTCAACATCAGAATGTTCATGTTGGTAGGAAACCTTATGAATGTGAGAAATGTGGGAAAGCCTATATCTGGAGCTCACACCTTGCTCGACATCAGCGAATTCATACTGGTAGGAAACCTTATGAATGTAAGCAATGTGGGAAGACTTTTACTTGGGCTTCATATCTTGCTCAACATGAGAAAATTCATAATGAGAGGAAATCCTATGAATGTAAAGAATGTGGAAAGACCTTTCCTCATGGCTCAGAGTTGAATCGACATCAGAAAATTCATACTGGTGAGAGAAACTATGAATGTAAGGAATGTGGAAAGACCTTTTTTCGTGGTTCAGAACTTAATCGACATCAGAAAATTCATACTGGAAAGAGGCCATATGAATGTGAAGAATGTGGGAAATCTTTTATCTGGGGTTCACAACTTACTCGACATCAGAGAATGCATACTGGTGAGGAACCTTATGTATGTAAAGAATGTGGGAAATCTTTTATCTGGGGTTCACAGCTTACACGACATAGGAGAATTCACACTGATGGAGAACCTTATGGATGCAAGAAAAGTAGCCACATCTTTAGTCACCATTCATATTTTGCTGAACAAAAAATTCATAATGGTGCAAATCTCTGTGAATGGACAGACTATGGGAACACCTTTTGTCATGATTCAAACTTTGCTGAACACCAGAATATTTACACTTTTGAGAAATCCTATGAATTTAAAGATTTTGAGAAAGCATTTTCTTCAAGCTCTCACTTCATTTCACTCTTGTGACATATTATTATATACAACTGTAGGAAAGGCTTTATTCATAACCCATTAATTTTGTTTATTTTTTTCTCTTGTGGAACCCTACAAATGTAAGTAATATTAGAAGCATTTTGACGGCACCCAATACATCTAGCAGCAGCAGCAGCAGAGAATTCATCATGCAATCAATATAGGAAAGAAATTACTGATCAGTTATCAATTACGGAATATCAGTGTAAAATTTTATATGATAGCATGAATTCTCTTTGAATCATACTCAAAACATTCTCATCAGAGATGTTGCATAAAGAATTAATATATAATTCAGCCAGTCACAGTGGCTGACACCTGTAACCCCAGCACTTTGGGAGGCAGAGGCAGGTGGATCACCTGATGTCAGGAATTTAAGACCAGCCTGACCAACGTGGTAAAACCCTGTCTCTACTAAAAATATAAAAATTGGCTGGGTGTGGTGGTGAGTGCCTGTAGTTCCAGCTACTCTGGAGGCTGAGGTACAAGAATTGCTTGAATCCAGGTGGCAGCGATTGCAGTGAGCCAAAATTGTGTCATTGCACTCCAGCCTAGGTGACAGAGTGAGATTCTTGTCTCCAAACAAAAACAAAAATAACCTCACAAGAATTTATATCTAATTCATGTTGGAAATCTTTCATCACTAGCAAAGTTTTGTTGTATTTCCACAAAAATAAGGTAATCTAGAAAAGCCTTGAACTATGTCATAAAATCTATTTGACATGTCTTGTTTCAATACATCCTACCTCTATATTTTTTTGGAAAGTCTTAAATCTATGTTTCTTTAATCTTATTCATTAGATTGTAAAGGTTGAATGATTTGAGATTTGCACAACTTAGTGACTGTCATTAGTATTTGTATTAAGCCATTTTATGAGAGGATATGAGTTTAATGATTATAGACAAATATGTCATCTCTATGTCTTATTTAACATCAGAATGTTAATTGTGAAAAAAAAAACGGTAAAACACAATGAAGATAAGAAAGTTTTGAATGACTATTAATTTCACCTGCTACATCAAAAAACCTATAACACCCTTGTAACTAGTGAAAGTGGGGTTGTTGAGTGTTCAGCAATTTTTAAAAAGACATTCAGAAATGATTTGTCTCTAACAAATTTCTAAAGCCAGGTGTCATATTTATTTTTCACCACAGTTATAACTCAGAAACTAGCAAATAGATAGCCATGTGGATTGTTACCTCTTGGAAATTTAGTACTACATATAAACCATTATTGGATTAAAGAGCAAAGAAGAAGTGAAATTGCAGACTATTTAGAATGATAATGAGAACTATATTTTAAATCCTGTGAAATAACTAAAACAGTTACCAATAGAAACTATGTATAAACTATATTTTAAACTGTATAAAACCAAGAAGATTGAGACCACTTTGTTTCACATCACCACTGCATCCCCAGCAGTTAGGTCAGTGCCTATAATGTTGTAGGGCCTCAAATACTTTTTGAGTTAAATAGTAATTACTCAGCAAGGTAGAATAAACAAATACCCCAAATAAATGAATGGAAAGGCTTAATGGAAAGCTGAAATCATGGAACAAATAAAATACAGGTTTTTATCAAAATCTGATCCTTTGAAGAAAACTATTTACTAGGCTTTATCAGTGCCTCTACTATATTATAAGAAAGGAGAAATGGGATAAAATTATGTGTTTAAGGGATTTTTTTAGTGGTAACATAAGTATGTGAACTCAACTCATGTAACACTAAAAAATAGCAAGAACTTCACATAGAAGAAATTGATAAAGTAACTTTTCATCATTCAAAATTATCCATCCAGGCTCCGCACGGTGGCTCATCCCTGTAATCCTGGCACCTCAGGAGGCTGAGGCAGGCAGATCACCTGAGGCCAGGGTTCAAGACCAGCCTGGCCAACATGATGGCTAGCCAGTTTTCCCAGCACCATTTCTAATTGGTATTTTTATAATACCTAGCAACCACAGAATAGATATCCTAAGTGCCCACAGGGCATATACCAAGGTAGAACACATTCTAGACACATTTATCAAACCTCAAGAAATTCAAAAGAATTGAAATGATAGTGTGTTCTCTGACCACAGTGGAATCAAACTAGAAATCAATAACAAAGGTAACAGAAAACTTAACTTTTCAATTTATTTTCTTTTTAAATTTTGTGGGTCCAATGGGTACATGAGATGTTGGCATGTAATGTAAAATGATTTTTTAAAAAACCACACTTTTAAGTAACCCAGGCATCAAAGAGGAAATCTCAATGAAGATAAATATGAATATAGAAATGAGTGAAAATACAGCAGAATTCTAAGGAATGTGATATAAATATATAAATGTGGGTGGAAATACAGAGTTCCGGGGAACATTTGTCAGATATAACTGAATCTGGACTTACAAAGAAATGTATACAACTATTTGTTCATACTAGAAATGAAGAGAGGGAGATGGTACAAGATGGCAAAATAGAACCTCCAACAATGGACAACAGTCTTGTGTGGATTGGATCAGGGTACCTGATCACTTAATCAGGCACCAAGGAGGGTAGGAAAGGCAGTCTTGAATTGCTGCCATCAGGCCTCTCCATCCCTCAGCAATGGCTATGTGGCAAGGATAGAGAATCTATGTGTTTGAGGGTAGGACAGTGCAAAAATGGTGGGACTTTGCATTGAAACTCAGTGCTGCCTGTCACAGCAGAGGGCAATATGGGGCAAAATTCAGCCAGTGCCCATGGAGGGAGCATTTAGAACAGCCCTAGCCAGAAAGAAATTATCCAACCCGGTGGTTGAAATCTGAGGTTCAGCTAGCCCCACTACTGTGTGCTAAAGCACTCTGGGGTCCTAAATAAACTTGAAAGGCAGTCTAGGCCACAAGAATTAAAATTCCTGGGCAAGTCCTGGTGCTGTGCTGTGCTGTGCTCAGAGCCATTGGGAAAGGGATGCGTGTTACCCGGTGACACGCCAGCTGGAGCAGCCAAGAGATTTTCATATCACTCCTCTCTCAAACCTAGGCAGGCAGCACTTAGCTTCAGAAGAGACTCCTGACTTCTTGATGAGAGGAGAAGGGAGAGTAAAAAGGACTTTGTCTTGCAACTTGACTAGAGCTCAGACACAGTAAAATGAAGCAGCAGATGACATTTCTAGACACACCATGGGCCAAAATAAAACACATTGCCTAAAAGGAAACACCCACTCTGGCAGGATACATAACCTGCTGAGTAAAAAGCCATCGAACCTCGAATAAACATCAGTGGTAGCTAAGCATTAATTTCTGTGGGCCTCGGGTGAGACCCAGTGCCAAACTGGCTTTAGGTGTGACACAGCACATTAACAGTTTTTGTGGTCATGGGAAGAAATCACTTCTGCTTGAAGATAGAAAAAGGACGAGTAGGCCGGGCGCGGTGGCTCACGCTTGTAATCCCAGCACTTTGGGAGGCCGAGGTGGGTGGATCACGAGGTCAAGAGATCAAGACCATCCCAGTCAACACGGTGAAACCCCGTCTCTACTAAAAATACAAAAAATCAGCTGGGCATGGTGGTGCATGCCTGTAATCCCAGCTACTCAGGAGGCTGAGGCAGGAGAATTGCCTGAACCCAGGAGGCGGAGGTTGCGGTGAGCCGAGATCGTGCCATTGCACTCCAGCCTGGGTAACAAGAGTGAAACTCCGTCTCAAAAAAAGAAAAAAAGAAAAAGGACATGTATTAAGGACTTAATCTTGCAGTTTGGGCACCAGCTAAGCCAGAGCATAGTGGATGGTCTCCAGACATCGGAAAGCAGAGGGACAACCAGAATGAAAAAACGTCAGGCAGAGTCCCAGGGAAGCAGCACGGCATCCCAGAACCAAGCCTGCGCAGGCGTGTGAGTGAGCCTCCCAACAAGTCGTGACAACTGTGATATCAAGATCAGGCCTGCCTGTGGGCCCTTGGTTTGCCCTCTTACATGAGAATCATTCTCGCGGAAAACAGAAACTGGCAGCCTCGGTGGCTGACAGAAGGTAAGTGTTTCTCTGTCACTGAGGTATGTCTGCCTGCATGAATGTCACTCTTTCTCTACTTACTGTCTCTCTTAGTCTTTCTGCTTCACTCTCTTTCTCTGTGCATGTGTGTGCCCATGTGCGTGTGTGTGTTGGGACCAATGTGCCCTGTGCACCAAAGGGCGATTTTTTCCATGTAGGCCTGTGTTTGATGAGCCTCTTTCTGCGTCTCTGCCTGGGTCTTGTGGCCAATTGTTAATCATTTTCCTGGAGGATCCACTTTGCGTTTGTTAAGGCCTCAGTGATGCGAGGACATGCATCCGACCCCGAGGAATTGAAATCTCATCCCCATCCTGAGTGGCCTCTTTTCTAGGATCAAGAAGACCACACCCCAGCCAAGGCCAAAAGCCTCACAGGATCTCATTGTGCTGCAGGAGGGGAGCAGACCGACATCAAAGAAGATGGTTCTGACTCCTTGCGGCTCTTCTCTGAGAAATGAAGCCACAGCCCAACACAGGCTTAAAGAAGAAGCCGGAATGGGGCATGGCAAGGATCTCTGTCACTTGAACACTGGCCTTTTGGGCAAGTCACTTGGTTGGCACTCCTCCCTGGATGCCCCTGGATGCCCGTGGCGGTGGCATTGTGCTGCTTCCTGCCTGGGCTCCGGCCTCTGCTGTCCTCCATCTTGCTTCGTCTGCCCTGTTTCTGAGGGGCCTAGATGCTTGTTGGTCTGGCTCCATGTCTTCTACAAAGAACACTTCCCAGTCCATCTGGGAGAAACTTCGTGGAGATCCGTGTCATGAGTGTTTCTCTCCCCAAACCTGTTTCTGGTTGATTGGGCAGGAGTGACCATCCTGGAGCTCTGGGCTTCCATACCTCCCTCACATAGGGAAGCTCTGTTGGTCACCATGTTTCACCTGATGGCTGCATGGTTTGTCTAGCACGAGCGGTAGGCCACTGTGGCAGGCCTTGGCTTCTAGGAAAGGTGGTGTCACATTTCCTCTGCACTTCCTGTCTCATTCTTGGGGATATTTGCTTCCTCTGCTCCTGGATGGACTGCCTGCCAGAACTGGATCTTTTGTCTATCACGAATGTCAGGGGGCCAAAGGGACTGGGCTTGGGCTGGGCATGCAGGGGAGGTTGCATCAGGGCTACCTAGCCAGTGGAGGTGAACTTTGCAGAAACCTCTCGGATCCTCAGGCAGGTATCCCTGAATGTGGCTCGGACTCAGGCACAGGCCCTCTCCTGGTTCCCAGGTGTGCTTTGCTCTTCCTTGGAGGTCTTGGGGAGGTCACCAGTGCTCCCCACCCCGGGTTCATGCCTGGACATCATTGTCTGCCTCGCCACGGCCCCATATGGCCTCAGAGACACAGACTAACTCCGTATGCCCTAGAGGACACTAGTGCCACCAGAGGTCGCATTGGCTCCACCTCGGACCCGCCATGTCCCTGTCTGCACGTGAACTGGAAAGTGGTTTTGGGATGCACGAGCCCCAGGGCTTTTGGAAGCGGGACAGGCTACTGCTCCTCCCAGGGAGGACCGAGGCAGAGGGCTCATGGGTCAGTGAATTTTGACCTGACAGCACACTTAGAGGCCCATGGGATCTTTCTGTGCCTCAGCAAGGCCCTCCCCGCCTCACTAGATGGTAAGCCCATCCCTGCTGACCCGGTGGGATCCAAAATTGGAGCTGAAGAGGAGTCGGAGGCCCCAGCAGTCGCCTGAAGCTCCTCCTCTTCCATTGGTAGAAGTCGGCTCAAGGAGGTGCTGAGGACAGGATTTCTGGGGGTGCAGCCCTGGGGCGCCCGCAGCCCCCTCTTCCACGGCACCCCCTACTCTACCCCGCTCCAGCCGCCTCCACGGCTGCCGCGGGAGCCCCCCCACCGCTCCTGGCCACCGCGCTGCCTGCATTGTTTAAAGGGGTCGCAGCCTGACTTCCTGGAGCAGGCGTCAGCCTAGCCAATGCGCATGCGCGAGGCGCGAGGCGCCAGCCCCATCTCTCGTCACAGTGACCCCCACGGTCGCCTGAGGGACGGGTCCCTGAGGCGTGGCAAAGCAGGAGCCCCCCGTGGCAGCGTGTGTGTGTGGAAGCTCCAAGGCTCCGGACTGACCTCTCCAGGGGGTCGACAGTTCGGTCTCCGAATTCTAGGAGTCGCGGAGGGCGGACCAGGATGAAGAAACCACAGGCGGAATCGCGGGAAGCAGCGCCGCATCCCAGCCTCAGGCCTGCCCGCACCGTTTGCGGGTGAGTCTCCCCAAAATTCGTGATCTCACGGACAGTTCTGCTTATGTGCCCGTGGGCTGCTGTCTCACTCGAGGGTCTTTCTCGCGGAGAGCAGAACCCGGCAGCCTAAGGGGTTTCCTGGTGGTGTGTGTTCCTGTGCCACTGCTGTATGTCTATGTGTGTCCCTTTCTCTCCTCTCTCTGTCTCTCTCTGTTCCTCTCCTCTCTCTCTGTCTCCGTCTGTGTGTGCCCGTGTGCGTGTGTGTGTTGGGACCAGTGTGCCCTGTGCGCTAAAGAGCGATTTTTTCCATGTAGGCCTGTGTTTGGTGAGCCTCTTTCTGCGTCTCTGCCTGGGTCTTGTGGCCAATTGTTAATCATTTTCCTGGAGGATCCACTTTGGGTTTGTGAAGGCCTCGGTGATGTGAGAAGATGCATCTGACCCTGAGGAATTGAAATCTCATCTCCATCCTAAGTGACTTCTTTTCTAGGATCAAGACGACCACACCCCACCCAAGGCCAAAAGCCTCACAGGATCTTATTGTCCTGCAGGAGGGGAGCAGACCGACGTCAAAGAAGATGGTTCTGACTCCTTGCGGCTCTTCTCTGAGAAATGAAGCCACAGCCCAACACAGGCTTAAAGAAGAAGCAGGGAACTGGACATGGCAAAGAACCCTGTCACTCGAATGCTGGCCTTTCTGGACAAGTCACCCATTTGGTACTCCTCCCTGGATGCCCCTGGTTGCCCGTGTCGGTGGCATTGTGCTGCTTCCTGCCTGGGCTCCGGCCTCTGCTCTGTCCTCCATCTTGCTTCGTCTGCCCTGTTTCTGAGGGGTCTAGATGCTTGTTGGTCTGGCTCCATGTCTTCAACAAAGAACACTTCCCAGTCCATCAGAGAGAAACTTCGTGGAGATCCGTGTCATGAGTGTTCCCTCCCCAAACCTGTTTCTGGTTGATTGGGCAGGCGTGACCATCCTGGAGCTCTGGGCTTCCATACCTGTCTCACACAGGGAAGCTCTGTTGGTCACCATGTTTCACTTGATGGCTGTGTGGTTGGCCTAGCATGAACGGTAGGCCACTGTGGCAGGCCTTGGCTTCTAGGAAGGTGGTGTTGCATTTCCTCTGCATTTCATGTGTCATTCTGGAGGGGCAACTGCTTCCTCTGCCCCTGGATGGACTGCCTCCCAGAAATGAATCTTTTGTCTGTCAGGAATGTCAGGGGGCCAGAGGGACTGGGCTTGGGCTGGGCATGCAGCGGAGGTTGCATCAGGGCTACCTAGCCGGTGGAAGGGTGGGGGGGTGGGATGAACTTTGCAGAAACCTCTCGGATCCTCAGGCAGGCGTCCCTGAGTGTGGTTTGGACTCAGGCACAGGCCCTCTCCTGGTTCCCAGGTGTGCGTTGCTTTTCCTTGGCGTTCTTGGGGAGGTCACCAATGCCCCTCACCCTGGGAACATGTCTGGACATCATGGTCCATCTCACTATTGCTCTTTATGGCCTCAGAGACACACACTCACTCCACCTGCTCTGGGGGACGCCAGTGCCACGTGTGGTCACATTGGCTCCATCTCGGACCCGTCATGTCCCTGTCTGCACGTGAACTGGAAAGTGGTGTTGGGATGCAGGAGCCCCAGGGCTTTGGGAAGCAGGGCAGGCCACTGCTCCTCCCAGGGAGGATAGAGCAGAGGGCTCATGGGTCAGTGAATTTTGACCTGACAGCACACTTAGAGGCCCATGGGATATTTCTGTGCCTCAGCAAGGCCCTCCCCGCCTCATCAGGTGGTAAGCCCATCCCTGCTGACCCGGTGGGATCCAAAATCGGAGCTGAAGAGGAGTCGGAGACCCCAGCTGGCGCCCTGAAGCTCCTCCTCCACCACCGGTAGAAGTCGGCTCAAGGATGTCCTGAGGACAGGACTCCTGGGGGTCCAGCCCTGGGGCGCCCGCAGCCCCCTCTCCCACGGCGACCCCTACTCAATCCCCACTCCAGCCGCCATTGTTTAAAGGGAATGCAGCCTGACTTCCAGTAGCCATGCAGGAGTCAGTCTAGTCAATGCACATGCGCACCAGCGGATTCTTTCCTCACAGAGATCCCCACGGTTGCCTGAGGGATGGGTCCTCGAGGCTTGGCAAAGCAGGAGCACTCCGTGGCAGCACATCGATGTGGAGGCTCCAAGGCTCTGGCCTGACCTCTCCGGGGGGTCGACAGGATGGTCTCCGGATGACAGCAGGAGTTACGGAGGGCGGATCTGGATGAAGAAACCACAGGCGGAGTCCAGGGGAAGCAGCGCGGCATCCCAGCCTCAGGCCTGCCTGGACAATGTTCAGGTGAGTTTCCCCAAAAGTCATGCCCTTTGTGTTCTCTAGGACAGGTCTGCGTCTGTGTTCCTGTAGGCTTTTCTCTCAGCCGAGGGTCATTCTCGTGAGAGCAGAACCCTGCAGCCTCAGGGGTTTCCTGGGGTGTGTGTTTTTGTTCCAATGCTGTATTTTTCTCTGTGTGTGTCTCCCTTTCTCTCCTCTTTGTCTCTTCTTTTTCTGTCTCTCTCTGTGTCTGTGTGTGTGTGTGTGTGTGTGTGTGTGTGCGCGCGCCCTTGTGCATGTGCGTGTTGGGACGGGCATGCCCTGTGTGCCACAGTGCCGTTTCTTACATGTTGGCCTATCTTTTTGTGTGCCTCTTTTTTTTTTTTTTGAGACCGAGTTTCGCTCTTGTTACCCAGGCTGGAGTGCAATGGCACGATCTCGGCTCACCGCAACCTGCGCCTCCTGGGTTCAGGCAATTCTCCTGCCTCAGCCTCCTGAGCAGCTGGGACTACAGGCACGCGCCACCATGCCCAGCTAATTTTTTGTATTTTTTTAGTAGAGACGGGGTTTCACCATGTTGACCAGGATGGTCTCGATCTCTTGACCTCGTGATCCACCCACCTCGGCCTCCCAAAGTGCTGGGATTACAGGCTTGAGCCACCGCGCCCGGCCCCTTGTGTGCCTCTTTGTGCTTTCCTGCCTGGGTGGTGTGGCCGGTTGTCAGTCATTTTCCCTCGGATTCCACTTTGCGTTTGAGAAGGCCTCCACAATGTGAGGAGCGGCGTTGGATCCGCAGGGGTTGAAATCTCCTCCTCATGCTCTTTTCTAGGATCAAGACGACAACACCACACCTGTGGACATTTTTTAAAGGAGTCCCAGCCTGACTTCTCGGAGTCATGCATAAGTCGGCCTGACTAATGCAAGCTATCTTTCCCCCACAAAGCCAAAACGGAAAATTGTTCCCGCCTTTTCAGGACAGCAGTGATGAGCAGCAGGATGCCCTGAGCTTTGAGACCTAGACAGGGCCCTGGGAGGCCCAGGTCAAAGGGAGGCAATGAGCTCATGAACCGGGAATTTTTGGCTGACACCCTCCCCTGGGGTCTCAGTTTTCTGTGCCCCAGCAACCCCCTCCACACCTCACCAGATTGAATACCCAGCCCCAGGGGACCTGATTTTTGGCCACACCATCCAATCCATAATCGGAGCAGAAGGGCAGTCCCGAGTGCCCACCTCATGGTCTGAAGGGCCCCCTCCTCCATCGAGACCCGAACATGTCAGGGTCCTGTGCTGCTTGTCCCACGCAGCCTCCTTCCCAGGCCGCTACTGGCTCTGCCCTCACCATTTTCCTGTGTGGCTGCGGCCTGACAGCCCTGACATTGCGGTGCGCCAGCTGGACACTAGAATGCACATGCGCCAGGCGGGAGTCACCAGGTGCAAGTGCTGAGCCGTGACTCGCGTCACAGTGACCACCACCATTGCCTGGGGACGGATCCTAGCGGCTTGGTGGAGCAGGAGCCCTCTTTGGCAGTGTGTCAGCCTTCGGCTGGGCCCCTCCTCACCGGGGGATTGTCGTCATGGTCCTAGGAGTCAGGCAGGGCCAAACCAAGCTGAAGAAACGTCAGACGGGTCCCCAAGGATACACTGCGAGATCCCTAAGGATGTACCACGAGATCCCTAAGGATCCCCACAATGCATCAGGCTTGCCTAGACGGCGTGAGGATGCGTCTTTTTGACAGCTGTCCCCCCCTCCCCCATTTCGACATATGGCCTGCCTGTGTGCCCTGGGGCTGCTCTCTCCCCAGAGGCTGTGTTTCTGTGCGAGTGTTGGATACCTCCGTGTGTGTGTGTGTGTGTGTGTGTGTGTGTGTGTGTTTGGTGAAATGAATGTGGCTTGTGCAGTTGAGCACGGTTTCCCTGTAGTCCACCTACCTTCTGGTGCATCTCTCTCTTTGGCTCTACTTGGGTTGTGGGGCCCCATGTCCTTAGTTTTGCTCTTGGTTCCTAAAACCTAGGTGAAGTGGGGGGCTGTCCCAGACCCGCAGGCCTCCAAATCACCGGGGGCCACTCTTTTAGAAAAAAGAACGGCGCACCACACCCAAGAACAGACATCTCGCAGGGGTCCATGGTCCTGTGGCACACCCAGGGTCAGACCCTAGCCGTCCCTGCCTCAGGACCCCCTTGAGCCCATTTCAAATTCGGTTGCCAGCAGTGCAGGAGCTTCAGGAGGTGATGCGGGCACTCCTTCATCCTCTTTGGATTTTCACAGCACTACATTTGGTAATTTTTTTTTTTTGATGATACCAAATATACAGGCATCAAAAGAAAAAACAGACAAGTTGAAATTCATGAAAAGTAAAAAAAAAAGAAGTGTGAATTGAGACATCAATAGATTAAAAAGGGCAACCCACAGAATGAAAGAAAATATTTGCAATCATAAACCTGAAATGGGATTAAGATGCAGAATATAGGCCGGGCGCGGTGGCTCAAGCCTGTAATCCCAGCACTTTGGGAGGCCGAGGCGGGTGGATCACGAGGTCAAGAGATGGAGACCATCCTGGTCAACGTGGTGAAACCCCGTCTCTACTAAAAATACAAAAAATTAGCTGGGCATGGTGGCGCGTGCCTGTAGTCCCAGCTGCTCAGGAGGCTGAGGCAGGAGAATTGCCTGAACCCAGGAGGCGGAGGTTGCGGTGCGCCAAAATAGCCCCATCTGACTCAACCAGGGGTAACAAGAGCGAAAGTCCGTCTCAAAAAAAAAAAAAAGATGCTGAATATATAATCTGTAAAATCCAACAATTAACAGGATCCAAAAATCTGCCATGGACTTCAATAGACATTTCTCCAAAGACATACAGATGGCCAATAAGCATGTAAAAAGATGCTCACCACACTAATTATTAGAGAAATGCTAATCAGATCTACAATGAGATACTACTTTACATCCATTACAAAGGCTGCCATTAAAAAACAGAAAATAAGAGCTGTTGGTAAAGATATAGAGAAATGGGAGCCCTGATGCACTGTTGAAGGGAACAGAAAAAGGTAAAGCCACTGTGGAAAACAGCATGGCAATTCCAAAAAAATTTGAAAATAGAGGCCAGCTGTGGTGGCTCAAGCCTGTAATCCCAGCATTTTGGGAGGCTGAGAGGGGCGGATCACTTGAGTTTGATACCAGCCTGGCCAACATGGTAAAACCCCATCTCCACTAAAAATACAAAAATTAGCCAGGCATGGTGGCACGTGCCTGTAATCCCAGCTATTCAGGAGGCTGAGGCAAGAGCATTGCTTGAACCCAGAAGGCAGAGGTTGCAGTGAGCCTAGATCTCACCACTGCACTCCAGCCTGGGTGACAGAAAAAGACTCAACTGTCTCAAAAAAAAAAAAAATTAAAAATGGAATTACCATGTATCCAGCAATTCCACATCTACATAGACACTATGGGAAACTGAAAGCACAATCTCAAAGAGATATTTATACTAGTAATATAATATCTATACTAATAGATATTATACTAATAGATATCTATACTAATAGATATTATATTCTAATATCTATTCTAATAGATATAGTCTCAAATAGATATTACATTAGTAGAGACAGGGTTTCACCATATTGGCCAGGCTGGTCTTGAACTCCTGACCTTGTGATCTGCCCACCTCCACCTCCCAAAGTGCTGGAATTACAGGTGTGAGCCACTGCACCCAGCCTCTGGATAATTTTTACACTTAATTAGGCAGTCTGTTTTGACTATAACGTAATGTAAAGAATTAAGTAAATATAACTTCACTCCTGTACACTATTGGTCCATGTACCTAACACAATTTATTGTGTTGGGAAAGCAGTCCATTCCCAATAGCATCAAAAGTAATTACATTTCCCAAAGTAAATTAATTGAGCCATTATGGAAAATAATATGGAGATTCATCAGACACTAAAATGTCAACTATATGTCCCAGCAATCCCACCTGTAGGTGTATAGCTAAAGGAACTGAAATCAGCATGCTGAAGAGATAACTGCACTACCATATTCACTGCAGCATTATTCATAATTGCTAACATATGGAAGCAACCTAGGTGTCCAGCATTGGATGAATGGATAAAGAAAATGTGATATGTATATGCATACATAAAGGAATACTATTCACTCTTTAAAAAGAGGAAAATTGGCTTGGTGTGGTGGCCCATTCCTGTAATCCCTGCACGTTGGGAGGCTGAGGCAGGCAGGTCACCTGAGGTCAGATGTTCGAGACCAGTCAGACCAACATGGTGAAACCCCTTCTCTACTAAAAATACCAAATTAGCCGACACGGTGTCCTAGCCTGTAATCCTAGCTGCTAGGAAGGCTGAGGCTTGACAGTAGTTTGAACCGGGGAGGCAGAAGTTGCAGTGAGCTGAGATTTTGCCACTGCAATCCAGCCTGGGCGACAAGAGGGAAACTCCGTCTAAAAAATAAATAAACAAGTAAATAAATAAATAATAAAAATAAAGAGGGGAAAATTCATTTGTGACAACACGGATAAACCAGAAGGACATTAGGCTAAGTAAGAGAAGTCAGAAACAGAAAGATAAATACCAAATGAGTAGTATTTGTGGAATCTAAAAAAGCCTGACTCTTAAGAGACAGAATGGTGTTCACCAGAGACTGGAAAATGGGGAAAAGGGAGCTGTTAACTAAAAGAGTACAAAATTTCAGTTAGGAGGAATAAACTTTAGTAATTGCACAGAATAGCAACTACATAAATAATGTGTTATATATTTCAAAATTGCTAAAAGAGTAGATTTTAAGTGTTTTTTTTTACCACAAAAAAGTGAGGGGATAGATATTATTAGCTTGATTTAATCATCCCACATTGTAAACAAGGATCAAAACAGCATATTGCACTCCATAAATATCTAAAATATACAATTATTATTTTTCCAGTTTTATTTTATTTTTTTCCCCATTTATTTATTTTATTGCTTTTTAGGTTTTGGGGTACATGTGAAGAACATGCAAGATTGTTGCATAGGTACACACGTGGCAGTGTGATTTGCTGCCTTCCTCCCCATCACGTACATCTGGCATCTCTCCCCTTGCTATCTCTCCCCAGCTCCCCAACCTCCACCGTCCCTCCCTATTTCCCCCCAACTGACCCCAGTGTGTAGTGCTCCCCTCCCTGTGTCCATGTGTTCTCATTGTTCAACACCCACCTATGAGTGAGAACATGCGGTGTTTGATCTTCTGCTCTTCTGTCAGTTTGCTGAGAATGATGGTTTCCAGGTTCATCCATGTCCCTACAAAGGACACAAAATCATCATTTTTGATGGCTGCATAATATTCCATGGTGTATATATGCCACATTTTCCCTGTCCAGTCTATCATCGATGGGCATTTGGGTTGGTTCCAGGTCTTTGCTATTGTAAACAGTGCTGCAATGAACATTTGTGTGCATGTGTCCTTATAGTAGAACGATTTATAATCCTTTGGATATATACCCAGTAATGGGATTGCTGGGTCAAATGGACTTTCTGTTTCTAGGTCCTTGAGGAATCGTCACACTGTCTTCCACAATGGTTGAACTAATTTATACTCCCACCAACAGTGTAAAAGTGTTCCTATTTCTCCACATCCTCTCCAGCAACTGTTGTCTCCAGATTTTTTAATGATCGCCATTCTAACTGGCGTGAGATGGTATCTCAATGTTGTTTTGATTTGCATTTCTCTGATGACCAGTGATGAGGAGCATTTTTTCATATGTTTGTTGGCCTCGTGTATGTCTTCTTTTGTAAAGTATCTGTTCATATCCTTTGCCCACTTTTGAATGGCCTTGTTTGTTTTTTTTCTTGTAGATCTGTTTTAGTTCTTTGTAAATTCTGGATATCAGCCCTTTGTCAGATGAGTAAACTGCAAAAATTTTTTCCCATTCTGTTGGTTGCCGATTCACTCTAATGACAGTTTCTTTTGCTGTACAGAAGCTGTGGAGTTTGATTAGGTCCCATTTGTCTATTTTGGCTTTTGTTGCCAATGCTTTTGGCGTTTTGGTCATGAAGTCCTTGCCTCCACCTATGTCCTGAATGGTTTTGCCTAGATTTTCTTCTAGGGTTTTTATGGTGTTAGGTCTTATGTTTAAGTCTTTAATCCATCTGGAGTTAATTTTAGTGTAAGGTGTCAGGAAGGGGTCCAGTTTCTGCTTTCTGCACATTGCTAGCCAGTTTTCCCAACACCATTTATTAAACAGGGAATCCTTTCCCCATTGCTTGTTTTTGTCAGGTTTGTCAGAGATCGGATGGTTGTAGATATGTTGCATTGCGTCCGAGACCTCTGTTCTGTTCTATTGGTCTATATCTCTGTTTTGGTACCAGTACCATGCTGTTTTGATTACTGTAGCCTTGTAGTATAGTTTGAAGTCCAGTAGTGTGATGCCTCCGCTTTGTTCTTTTTGCTTAGAATTGACTTGGCTATGCGGGCTCTCTTTTGGTTCCATGTGAAGTTTAAGGTGGTTTTTTCCAGTTCTGTGAAGAAGGTCATTGGTAGCTTGATGGGGATAGCATTGAATCTGTAAATTACTTTGGGCAGTATGGCCATTTTCACGATATTGATTCTTCATAAGCATGAACATGGAATGTTTGTCCATCTGTTTGTGTCCTCTCTTATTTCGTTGAGCAGTGGCTTGTAGTTCTCCTTGAAGAGGTCCTTTACATTCTTTGTTAGTTGTATTCCTAGGTATTTTATTCTCTTTGTGGCAATTGTGAATGGAAGTTCGTTCTTGATTTGGCTTTCTTTAAGTCTGTTATTGGTGTATAGGAATGCATGTGATTTTTGCACATTGATTTTGTATCCTGAGACTTTGCTGAAGTTGCTTATCAGTTTCAGGAGATTTGGGGCTGAGACGATGGGGTCCTCTAGATATACAATCATGTCGTCTGCAAATAGAGACAATTTGACTTCCTGCTTTCCTATTTGAATACCCTTTCTTTCTTTTTCTTGCCTGATTGCTCTGGCTAGAACTTCTAGTGCTATATTGAATAGGAGTGGTGAGAGAGGGCATCCTTGTCTAGTGCCACATTTCAAGGGGAATGCTTCCAGTTTTTGCCCATTCAGTATGATATTGGCTGTTGGTTTGTCGTAAATAGCTTTTATTATTTTGAGGTACGTTCCGTCAATACCTAGCTTATTGAGGGTTTTTAGCATAAAGGGCTGTTGAATTTTGTCAAAGGCCTTCTCTGCATCAATTGAGATAATCATGTGGTTTTTGCCTTTGGTTCTGTTTATATGGTGAATTACGTTTATAGACTTGTGTATATTGAATTTTTCCAGTTTTAGAAAGCTACTTTTCTCATACCTTATAGCAAGGCTGGACCTCCTCAGGGGACACAGAGCAGAGTCCCCGCCCTCCGGAGCTCACACCCGGTCCCCCACGCTGGCCCTCGCGGCCACACCTTGACCCTCCCCGACCGGCTCTACATGCACAGCCCGAGGCTTCGGGCAGCCCCGAGTTCAGATTCCTCTTCTCAACCTTCTGGGTGCACTGAAACCCTCAGGACTCCAAAGCCAAGTCGGACACGCCTTTGCCTCAGCTATCTTCTTCAGCGCTAGTCTCTGCGTCTGCGCACTCCTAGTAGAGGGAACTCTTGAAACATTCGGGAGCCAGCGTCCGGCGGTGCCTGCGATCTAATCGGGATTTGGGGTTCTGAGCCACTATTACCACAAACCACCGCGGTCATGGATCTTTAGTCTTGAACTACATTTCCCAGAGGGCAGCGGGAACACCGAGTCTATGGCTTCCCTTCCGTTTTCGCGTGGTTCTTTTGCAAGGTGAGTTGAACTCATTTCAGGATGTAATAGGCACAAGGTACTCGCAGGCGGGGCTCTGGGCAATCAAGTTAAATTGGAACTCAACCTGCATCTTCCGGTTTGGTGGAGGAAGCCCTTAAACCGTGGAAGCCTGTTGTCTGGATGACCAGTTGTTATCGGAATCTCAGGCCTGTGGGTGCATGAGCGGCAGAGGGTTTTGAGTGCGTTCGTGAGAGAATGTTGTATATGTCAGATGGGGAATGTTTAAGAGTGTGTGAGAGAAACTGCGTATGAGAGGCTGGGATGTGCCTCCTTGACAGTGGGTGCGGGTGTGAGGCTGTGACAGGTGAGTGGCTGTGCTTGAGTGACGGGGATATGAAGTGCGTTCATGCGGTGGCACTTTGAGTCGTGGCTGTAGCTTCCCGGCTGCTTCCCCTCCCCTCTCTCCTCATAGCCGCTTGAGGCTGACAAACACAAAAAAATGTCTGCAAGAGGGAAGTTGGATTCTAATTCTAAATGAAATTTTCCAGCAAGAAGGCACTGACTTGCTGTGAGTTTGGAAACGCCTGGGAGGTTATTTCCTAGTGAGCTCTGAGAGCGAGCTACTTGTCTCAGAGCCTCGTCCTTCCCAGAATTCTGGCCCCAGGAATCTGCTGTGAACTCATACCCAGATTCCAGCCTCCCTGCTACCTCCATGGGTTCAAGTGTGTGAACAGGGAAGGTGTGGAGGGTATTGTGTATCCAGGCTTTCCGTGCTTCAAGGAAAGCCTGATAACTCATGATTCTCTTCTCCCTCCCTGGTCCTGGTGGTCCTCAAAAGGACTCTGATGAGGAGGAAAAAAATTATTTCACATCTAAAAATCAGGGTTTATGCTACTTGGCTTTTTTTCTTTCATAAGATTACCAGTTTTAGGACATGCTTTCCTTCGTCTGAAATGTGTCTGAATGTCCTAATAACAATCTACTTTATTTCTAGTAGATGTTGGGAGCCATTGAACTGAATCTCATTAACATTGCTATATATGGCTGGGCGTGGTGGCTTATGCCTGTAATCCCAGCATTTTGGGACTTTTTCCATACAATGACTTCTGGCTGGGTGCGGTGGCTCCCGCTTGAAATCTCAGCACTTTGGGAGGCTGAGGCTGGCAGATCACTTGATGCCAGGAGTTCGAGACCAGCCGGGCCAACATGGTGAGACCCCCGTCTCTTATCATTAAAAAAAAATTTTATAGTGATTTCTTTTCCTCTGGGTAGATACCCATTAGTGGGATTGCTGGATCAAACAGTAGTTCTGGGCAATAGAGTGAGACTCCATCTAAAAAAAAATTATATATATAATATATATGTAATATATATATATATATATATATATATATAAAATAAAAGTAAATAAAACGATTCAGTTTCATTTCACAGAATGTAGAAATAATCTGTGATGTCCAAGTGCTTCCAAGTACCTGTATAAAATTTAGATCTATTGTACCTAGCGTATTGGAAACACTGTTCACACAATAGATAACTCAGAATAGATATCAGCTGAAACATGAGATAGTAAAAGTTAGGAAGCGGCATAGAAATCACCATGTTGTACTGAAGAACAGGATTTAGGCTGCTGTTAGATTCTTATCTAATATTGTTTATTGAAGAGAATTGTATGCTTACATACAATGTATAGTTTGTGAATATTTTTTTACTACTCTGGGGGTTGCCTGTTTAATCTGATGATTCTTTTGCTGTGCAGATGCTTTTTAGTTTAATTAAGTCCTATCTGTTTATCTTTGCTTGTGTTGCATTTGCTTTTGGGTTCTTGGTCATGAACTCTTTGCCTAAGCCAATGTCTAGAAGAGTTTTTCCAATGTTATCTTCTAGAATTTTTATGGTTTCAGGTCTTAGATTTAAGTCTTTGATCCATCTTGAATTGATTTTTTATAAGGTGAGAGACGACGCTCCAGTTTCATTTTCTACACGTGGCTTGCTAATTATCCCAGCACCATTTGTTGAATAGTCCTTTCCCTACTATGCTTTTGTTTACTTTGTTGAAGATCAGTTGGCTATAAGTATTTTTCTTTATTTCTAAGTTCTCTATTCTGTTCCATTGGTCCACATGCCTGTTTTTATACTAGTACCATTCTGTTTTGGTAGCTATAGCCTTGTAGTATAGTTTGAAGTCAAGTAATGTTATGCCTTTAGATTTGTTCTTTTTGCTTAGTCTCGCTTTGACTATGCTGGCTCTTTTTTTGTTCCATATGCATTTTAGGATTGTTTTTTCTAGTTCTGTGAAGAATGATGATGGTATTTTGATGGGAATTGCATTGAATTTATAGATCAGTTTTGGCAGTATGGTCATTTTTGCAATACTGATTCTAACCATCCATGAACATTGGTTGTGCTTTCATCTGTTTGTGTCATCTATGTTTCTTTCAGCAGTGTTTTGTCGTTTTCCTTATAGAGATCTTTCACCTCCTTGATTAGGTGTATTCCTAAGCATTTTATTGTTTTTGCAGCTATAGTAAAAGGGTTTGAGTTCTTGATTTGATTCTCAGCCTGATTGATGCTGGTGTATAGCAGTGCTACTGATTTGTGTGCATTAATTTTGTATCTTGAAACTTTACTGAATTTGTTTATCAGATCTAGGGGCTTTTTGGTTGAGTATTTACGGTTTTCTAGTTACATGATTATATTATCAAGCTTGACTTCCTCTTTATCAAGTGGATGCACTTTATTTTTTTCTCTTGTCTGATTGCTCTGGCTATGGCTAGTCACAACTTTAAAATGCTACTAATCAAGCAAGGGTCATAAATTGTAAATAGGAAAGGGTAAGTCAGTGTATAGTGAAAACCACTAGAGAGATTCAGGTGTTATGTCTTGGGAATTCATGTGAAGGTGGCATTGATTAGATTCTGGTCATCCGTGTAACTAAGCCCATGGAATCTATATGGAAGTTAGTGAATGTATTCTGCAATCTTTTACTGTCTAATTTTTTCTTCAAGTGATGTTAGATAAAACGTGAGACTGGGCCAGGCATGGTAGCTCATGCCTGTAATCCCAACGCTTTGGGAGGCCTAGGAGGGAGGATCTCTTGAGCCTAGGACTTTGAGAACAACCTAGGTAACATAGTAAGAACCTGTCTCTAAAAAAAATTTAAAAATTAGCCAGACATGATGGTGCACACCTTTAGTCCCAGCTACTCAGGAGCTTGAGGCAGTAGGATTACTTGAACCCAGAAGCTTGAGTTTGCAGTGAGCTATGATCACACCACTGTACTCCAGCTTGGGTGACACAGCAAGACCCCTGCCCCTTTAAAAAAAAAGAGAGAGCGAGCCAGAGCAAAATAAACCCACCTTTTAATACACACATTTGTGTGTGAGTGTGTTTGTGTGTGTACACATGTATTTTTTAAGTTATTGTATGAACAGTGTTAAAATGATTATGAAATATATTCAAAAGAATATCAAGATAGCTACTAAAAGGAAAGTAATGGTAACATATGATCATGTTGTAGTGTAACAGAACAAATAAATTATCAGAGTTTCTCAATGTATTGATGTCCTATAGCCTGTCTCAATGCTTGTCTGTCTTTTTAATGATCCAGTGATATTATACGTTCTATTTTTTATCTTAATTTTCTGTGGACAGTATATCTGAATTTTTTTATTTTTTATTTTTTTTTGAGACAGAGTTTCACTCATGTTACCCAGGCTGGAGTGCAATGGCACAATCTCGGCTCACTGCAACCTCCGCCTCCTGGGTTCAGGCAATTCTCCTGCCTCAGCCTCCTGAGTAGCTGGGATTACAGGCACGCACCACCATGCCCAGCTGATTTTTTTTTGTATTTTTAGTAGAGACGGGGTTTCACCATGTTGACCAGGATGGTCTCGATCTCTTGATCTCGTGATCCACCTGCCTCGGCCTCCCAAAGTGCTGGGATTACAGGCTTGAGCCACCACGCCCGGCCTGAATTTTTTTATTTTTATTAAATATGTTTTCCTACTTAGCATCTGGTAGTTTCTTGGTATTCTATTACATGTATATTTTTTATTTTGCAAGGCAGTTTGTACTCAACACAGAACTGGCCCTAACCATTTCCTCCTGTGTTGTGTTCTCTCTCATATTTTGACCAATTTCAACTGATTCTGATGCCATAGAAGAGGTTCTAGTTTGAGGCCAGGTGTGGTGGCACACACCCGTAATATGAATAGTTTGGGAGGCCAAGGTGGGAGAATCATCTGAGGCCAGGAGTTCAAGACCAGCCCTGTCAACATAGTGAAACCCTGTCTCTACTAAAAACACACAAAAAAATTAGCTGGGTATGATGGTGCACACCTGTAGTCCCAGCTAGTCGGGCGGCTGAGGCAGGAGGATCACTTGAACCCGGGAAGTGGAGGTTGCAGTAAGCCAAGATCTCCCCACTGCTCTCCAACCCAGGTAATAGAGTGAGACTCTATCTCAAAAAAAAAGAAGGGCCCCAAGTTTGAATGATAAGTCCTCTTTCAGTCTTGAAAGGTGGGAATGAAGGCAAGTGAATCTTCTCGTGGAGAAACTGAGCAGCTTAATCTCAAGTCTAGACCAGCCTTCCCAAATTGGAGTCTTGTCCAGAAAGCCCCTTGCTATCATGTCTGGATCTGGTTTTAGTGAGCAAGTGACTTACTGTAAAACTACCTTTGTATAGCTGGGTTTCCTGGGGTTTGAGGGAATGCTTAGATCCATTGTCTGTTTTTCCCTAAGTTATGTGTTCACTTGTGAGGGATTAATTTGGAAAGAGAAATAGAGCAGCAGAAAGATTTTATTAAATTAAGTCATATTGGGAACACTAATGTTATTTTCTTCTCTCAGCTCTGGATTCTCAGGAGTTGAATTTTTCCACTATCGGAACTCTGCTGAGTAGGACTGATCAGGTCTTACAATTCTAAAACCATGATCTGTGTAAGTTGATTAATTCTGTTTCCTTGCAATATCACGATCGTAGGTTATGTGGATTTTTTCATTAACATAAAGCTTCCTATTTAAGAAGTCCTTCAGTTATCTGCTCCCTACTTTCTTCCAATGTAGTGAATAGTGATAGCAAATAACTGAATTTTCTTCCTATGAGTATTTTCTGTCCACTTTTATATTTATTGTCAAATGTATTCAATACTTCTATGCTTATTCTTCAACCAAAGGCTATGATAGAGCAGTAAAGGAGTGAAGTCTCAACAGGGAACTATTTGAGCTTCCTTTATACGTCCTTAGTTTAGTGAATTACAGATGTTGCTCCTATTTGGACACCCTAGGTAAGCTTTGACATTCTCCATAGACCTGAGTTTTCTAGGCAAATAAGATGGGATTTGGTTATCAATTGGCCTGTCTTAGTATGTGATGAGATCTCATATTCTTTGAGAATTTTAGAATTGTTGGATATATACACGGATCTTGCCAAATAATTAATGAGAGACAAGTTTTTATTTTGTGGTTGAATGTGTTCTGTTGAACTTGGGTGACATCTTTTTGATTATGAGTCATCCTATATCAGTATACATTCTGGAACAAGAAAAGTATTAAGTGATGGAAGACGGCGATAAATGAGAATATTATCCTGAGGAGTCAATATGTTGATTTCCAGAATTGGAGAAGACTTTTGAAATGTTGTACAACAAAGTATGTGAAGGTAGGCTAGCCACGGTGGCTCATGCCTGTAATCCCAGCATTTTGGGAGGCTGAGGCAGGAGGATCACTTGAGGGCAGGAGTTTGAGACCCCTTGCAAAAAAGCAACACCCCCATTTCTACAAAAAAAGTACAAAATCAGCTGGATGTGGTGGCTTGCACCTGTAGTCCAGTTACTCAGGAGGCTACGGCAGGAGGATTTCTTGAGCTTGGGAGGTCAAGGCTGCAGTGAGCTGTGATTGTGGCACTGCACTCCAGCCTGGGCAACAGAGTGAGCCTGTCACACACGCATACACAAAAGATTTTAAAAACTTATATGAAGGTAGGCTGGGCGTGGTGGCTTATGCCTATAATCCCAGCACTTTAGGAGGCGGAGGTGGGCGGATCACCTGAGGTTGGGAGTTTGAGACCAGCCTAACCAACATGGAGAAACCCCGTCTCTACTAAAAATACAAAATTAGCTGGGCATGGTGGCACATGCCTGTCATCTCAGCTACTTGGGAGGCTGAGGCAAGAGAATTGCTTGAACCCAGGAGGTGGAGGTTGTGGTGAGCCGAGATTACACCATTGCACTCCAGCCTGGGCAACGAGAGTGATACTTGGTCTCAAAAAAAAACCCCTAAAACCAAAAACGTATATGAAGGTAAAAGATGGATTAAGTCTGAAATATTCATGATAAAACTGATCGTTGCACAGTCAATACAAAATATATTTGTCAAAAGAAAAAACAATGCTTATGATGTACTCTGACATAGTGATGTAACTTGAGGCTTAAAGAAATGTCTAAATTTTTTGCAAAAGCTTTTTTTTTTTTTTTTTTAATATGGCGATTGGCCATTGGCTCACGCTTGTAATCCCAGCACTTTGGGAGGCTGAGGCAGGCGGATTGCTTGAGCCCAGGAGTTTGAGACCAGCCTGAGCAACATGATGAAACCCTGTCTCTACAAAAAATACAAAAATTAATTGGGCAGGCGTTGTACACCTGTAGTTCCAACTGCTTGAAAGGCTGGGCCTGGCAGTCAAGGCTGCAGTGAGCTGTGTTTGAGTCACTATATTCCAGCCTGGGCAACAGAGCGAGACCATGTCTCAAATAATGAATAAATAGAACAAAATAATAAATATGGACATCATTAAATTTGGCAAGGACATCCCAATTTTTTTTTTTTTTTTTTTTTGAGACGGAGTTTCGCTCTTGTTACCCAGGCTGGAGTGCAATGGCGCGATCTCGGCTCACCGCAACCTCCGCCTCCTGGGTTCAGGCAATTCTCCTGCCTCAGCCTCCTGAGTAGCTGGGATTACAGGCACACACCACCATGCCCAGCTAATTTTTGTATGTTTAGTAGAGACGGGGTTTCACCATGTTGACCAGGATGGTCTCGATCTCTTGACCTCGTGATCCACCCGCCTCGGCCTCCCAAAGTGCTGGGATTACAGGCTTGAGCCACCGCGCCCGGCTTCCCAATTTTTTTTAACTGTTAAAGGAAAAATAGAAACTCATGTTTATTGGGAATTTAAGCATCACACAACTAGCAGACTATGTAGTTGTGTATTTAAAACTTTATTGAATTTTATTTTATCCATTCCCCAGAAGGTCTGAATTATTGTGGTAACCCCTAACATGCAGAAAGATTTGTCTGTGGCAATAGGATTCTTTAGGAATATGTAGACACGCTGCTTTAGTCTGCTACCAGTCATTAGCTACATGTACTATATCACTCCTTCTCTCTTTTTTTTTTTTTTTTTTTT